TATAAAGCGTTTAATATCTCGTTGGAATGATCTTACTGAGTTCTAAAAGTTGTCTATAGGCGCTGGTTTCAAATATCAAGGGATGATTTCCTAATTACTAAAATACACTGTATTTACGCTAAAAGTGCCCTATTTTCGCTGAAAACGCTAAATCATAGAGATAAGGCTAAGTATTTGTGACACTCATATATTGATGTGTGTTTATCCGTTTGGAGCGTATTATATCTCGTTGGATAGATATATCGGAGCTCTAAAGCTATTGTTCCAACTTTATTTACAATGCATTAATTCAAAGTTACAGATTAATCATATATTCACAAATGTTTCTGATTTCACTCCGAACTCGTGTAGAATTTGATGCGATCATATCTTGCTCTATTTTGTGCCGTTGAAAGCGTTTAATATCTCGTTGCAAAGATCTTACCGAGTTCTAAAACTTGTCTTCAGGCGCTCGTTTCAAACTATCAAGGGATGATTGCGTAATTACTAAAATACAATGTATTTACGCTAAAAGTACTCTATTTTCGCTGAAAACGCTAAATCATAGAGATAAGGCTATGTATTTGTGACACTCATATCTTGCTGTGTGTTTATCCGTTTGGAGCGTATTATATCTCGTTGGAAAGATAGATCGGAGATCTAAAGCTATTGTCCAACTTCATTTACAATGCATTAATTAAAAGTTACAGATTAACCATATGTTCACAAATGTTTCTGATTTCACTCCGAACTCGTGTAGATACTAGTATACGATAGTGGTATATATCTATTTATTAAGATGAAATAAGTGCACCGCCCGGACCGATCTTGGAAGGGCCTACCACCATTCAATTCCATCTTCATGATTTAGTCGCCGTGTCGGAGAATAAAATTGCATTTAAAAGCATCTTTATTAATTGGAAGGTACTATTCACTTATCACTTATGGTTTGGTATTTGGTATCTCATTTTTTATTTACCCATAAATTATAGAGATATTACCCGAAATAGGACTAAAACAGTTTGAAAATTCCAAAATAGGATTGTCATGTTTTTATTCTCAAAATAAGACCAATCATTGCCATATTTTGACAGTACCAAACCTCAAATATGACAGTATTTTCTAAACATGACAGTAATTAGTCCTATTTTGGGAATAAAAAACATGAAAATCCTATTTTAGAATTTTGAAACTATTTTAATCCTATTTCGGGAACTTTTCCTAAATTATAAGGACACACTATCTTTATGACACACTATAATATGTCATTATCAAGTTAAGTAACATGTACTTTTTGTTGGGCTTGTACGAAATTTTTGGATTTTTTCATATTAGAAATACACATTTTTTTTGGAGAACGACAATTTTGGAATTTTTCATATTAGAAATACACATTTTTTTAGAACGAAATTTATTTAGTAACAAGAAGTAAAGCAATACAATAACTCAATGCTATATTGGGGTGAGACGTAGAATGGATTAGTCCCAAGGATCCATTGTATTCACTAACCCCCAACAATGTATACTACTTTGACAGCATTGTTGAACTTGCTACGAAAATGGGAGGTAATAAAACAAGAATTCTTTAAGTAAAAGCAACAAAATAATTCAATGTATCCTGGTTTTACCAGCCACCAGGAAGGGGGAAGAAGCTTGTACATCCACCTTCAAAGGAAAGCATTCAGGCATTCAGGTTTTACCAACCACCGGGAAGAGAGAAGAGGTTTGTTAGCCCCACCCAAAGGAATCATCTCGACTCGTTTACGGGATCTGCCAGTATTTTAGACGAAGTTGTTCCAGGAGCATCGTCGCCTTGCTTTTTTTGATCCTTCGCCATCAACCTCCTCGATTGATGACAACAAAATGAACGCTGTATCTGAGGCAGAGAAAAAGAAGCAACAAAACTCACGATAAAAAATCCAAACACGTTCACAATTGGAACAGACCAAACACTCAGCCAAAGAAAACTCATCCGGACGAACTAAGCGAGACGGAATCTTGTACGATCGAACTCCTTCAGGGTCGCGGAGCGCTGGAGAAGCGATGTAAAAACGTGTCGTTGCTAGAAATACGGTTTCTATTTAGTCAAGTAATAATTAAAGTAAATTCAATCATTTCATACTCAACCGGATCTATATCAGTTTGTATACTGTGGGATCATCCCACGGTTAACACCATGCTCCACCTCCAAAACGACGTAGTTTTGCACATTTAAAAAAAAACGCGTGAACGGTACACGCGTGTACAACAATTATTATTTTTTCTTTTTGTCCCATCAGCGTGAATGATGTAACTCGCATGTAAAGAAATGTAACTCACACTGCTAAAAAGTAACTGTAGGCAAATCAAAATGTAACTTGTCTAATACGGATTATAAGAAATAAAACATTTATTTCAATGAAAATAAGGAATCTAATTACTCAATTACTTTACGTAAATAGTGAATATGTTTTGTTTTTTATATTAAGACCATAAATAATGTTTTTTTCTTCTCGAAGTCATTTATTTTGCCAAAAATCATTTTGTTCGCCATAAAAATTCATTGTTTTTTGAAAAAAAGTGTTTTTTTTGTTTCAATAGCATGGGATTACTTAAATAGTGAATATGTTTTGTTTTTTATATCAAGGCCATAAAAATATTTAAAAAAAAAACACTTTTTTTGCCTAAGAAATAAGTTTTTTTGCAAAAAAAATATATTTTTTGCATAAAACTGATTCTTTTGTTTGAATAGCAGAGCTTTATGATGTGATGTAACTCATGATATAGAAAATGTAACTCGCGTGCGTTGATGGAAAATCTAACTTAAGTGTATGCAAAATGTAACTTGTTAAGGCAAGTCTAAATGTAACTTTCATATAAGAAGATGTAACTCGCGCATAAAAAGATGTAACTCGCGAATAAGAAGATGTAAATTCATATACTATCAAATGTAAAGAATGAAAACAAGGAGTCTAATTGCACAAATTAATTTACGTAAATAGTTAATATGTTTTTTTAGTATTAAGGCCATAAAAATGTTTCAAAGAAAAATATTTTTTTTGCCAAAAACTCATCTTTTTCGCAAAAAAAAAACATTTTTTTGCAAAGTGTAACTTGTTGAGGCAAGTCCAAATGTAACTCGCGCATAGAAAGATGTAACTCATGCACAAGAAGATGTAACTCCATATACTATCGAATGTAATTCAAGAAATTGTCTATAAACATAACTCAACCTATGAAAAATGTAATATAATTTCATGTTTTATGAAAATTGTATTTCATATACTTATTTTATGTGGATTAATAAAATTTAGTAAAGAAAAAAGTGTATGAATATAAAAAAATATTGCATAAATAAAAATAATGTATGAATATGAAATACAATATACTTATTTTATTTAGATTGATGAACTTTTTGGTATGTATTGATAAAGAATAAAAAAATAGATTCAATTATTATTTAAGTTGAAGATAAAGAAAAGTAAAATTGCAATTAAATTTTGGGAAAATGGAAACTAATAATCCAACCTTTTGACGGTCTTCTTACAATAGTCTCACCTTTTGATTATTCAGGAATAATCTAACCTTTGCACCCTATTTTCATTCAATGGTCCATGACTGGTTGATGACCTGCTATTCCAAGTTATTTTCTTATCTTTGCAATATGTTATACCATAAATCTAACGTTATGATCACATAATGTTTTGCATAGACAAGAAAATAACTTAGAATAGCAGGTCATAAACCGATCAGGGACCATTGAATGAATATGGGGTGCAAAGGTTGGATTATTTCTGATAATCAAAATGTAGGACTATTATAAGAAGACCGCTAAAAAGTTGGATTATTAGTTTCCATTTTCCCTTAAATTTTTAGTATTTTAATTTGATGGAAAAGGAGAAGAGTTGAAGAAAAAATAAATAAATAAATAAATAAAGCAAACCAAAAGAAAAAGGAACAATGCATGCTCCAAAAGGAAAGAAAAAAGCAAATTCATTACCTAAAGTGGGATCGGCACACCGTGCGGACGGTGAGTCGATCCCACGGTATAATTTGTCCACTGCTCTATATAAGGATCCTGTTTCTCTGCCTGACTTTGAGAGCTAAGTAGGTGTCTAGCTTTTATATGTCAGCAAATGCAGGGATAATACATGTCAATCCCTCCCTCCCTATTCAGAGGTCTAACGTCACTTTGTATTTTGTTACATCACTTATATGAAAAATAAAGTTAATTACAAAAGTAAAATCATGTAATCAAGGAATAAGGATAAACTTCTAAAATATGTATTCAAACATTTGTGGAGTATAAAATATAAAACACACAGAATAAAGTCGTATACACTTTGCTTCCTTTGTATATAATTTTAGATGAAAAGTTAGATAAAAACTTGGAAAAAAATTAAATAAAAAATGCACGGAGTATTCAATATTGAAAATGCCTATTTTAAACATTAAGAGCATGTCGGAGATTCTTCCTAACACCAACATTGTGATATTTCATAAATCATACGGAGTAACACAATTCATTATTAGAGTTGTACCTCATTTTATGTTTAATTATGCGTTAATATTTGATAATGTATACATTTTGATTATATTTAGGTTATATTTATTATAGGTTATTGTTTGATAATCTCTATTTTTGACTTATCAAACTGCATTTTAATTAAGTATGTAATTTTTATTTGTGTGCACATACAATAAAAATTGTACAATATGTGCACAAATAATTACGTATAATGTGTATGAAATGTGTACAAATTTTTTGTCCATTTTTTCTTCTTGTTAAAATAATACTCCGTATATCTGACCTCCTGTGAACTGAAGATGGTATTAAGGGGTGTTTGGAACTGATTCAGCTTCTGCTTCTTTTTTAAAGTAGAAGTAGAATCAGAATCAGTTTTCAGAAGCTGGTCATCCTCAATTTCTAAAAAAAATTGATTCTAAAAGTAAATTAGAACACCAGAATTACTTCTACACTTTCACCCAAACACTCTAATTTATGTTTGTGCTCCAAAACGAAGAAGCTCAGGTCCAAATACCCCTTAATGTGTCAGATTACTTAACCGGAAGTCGGTTTCGCTGAATACAGCGTAGAAAGAAGCACTTGTTTCTGTATTGTCTCTTTCAGATCTTTTGTTGGGCGACACGAACGAAAGAGTCTTGAAATTTCACAAAAGTCCACTATCTTTTGCCACTTTGCTAGGCAATCATCATATCGTCAAGATTTAATGCAGATATGCGGGTACTTTGCTGCTTTTGTTGTTATCTTCTAAAAACACAAGGCACCATCACGGATCTGCCATCTTTCCATTTTCCCTCACTTACTCTCATCACCCGCGCGCCTTATCCCCATTTTGCTCTTCTGCTCTACATTCTCCATCTTTCTTGAACCTGGTAATTTCTTCATTCCTATATGCTCCAAGTGTTTGTGCATCTTATAAATCTGTTCCAAGTCTTTCCCCATTCTTTTTATTGGTTTATTCATTACTTTGTTTCAAGAATTCAAGAATCAGCCCTTCTGGATTTTCCATGAGGGCTTAGATTGGGTTTTGCTTCATTTCTAGCCAAAGTTATGGTTTTTAATGGTTTAAGTTGTGATTATGCTAAGTCCATGCTGGTTCACTTACCAACTTACCATTCTCAGCCTTCTTTATTGGGTATATACTTGACTTGGATTTTTCCTTCTTAAGAAAGTTGTATAGGGATAGAACTTTGCAACTTTTAGCATGAATAGCAGTCAATTAGCACTATAAACTTCATGACACCCACTTTAACATAAGCTAGCTTTGGAAATGGGAATGGTGTTTGCCTATAACGGCAGCACCTGATCTTTCTCAATCCAACAAGTCAGTAAGCGGGTCAGATCATCTTTTTTGATCTCAATGGGCCCAGATTGATACAAGCACTGGGTGCTTGTCCTGAAGACAAATACCAGATCCAAACTCCCCAACATTGTTAGTATTTAGTTGAAGACAATTAGGCCTAAAAAATGTTGACTCAGTCTGGATTCTAGAAGAGGTTAGGAGCTGGACAAGTTGCACACTTAGGGCCTAACAGTTTGGCACACTTTGACCTGGCATGTAGTTGGAGCATATGAGAAGTTTGATGGGTAAGGTTGAATGCAAGTTCTATCAGTCATTGGGAACCCAAGGTTTCCAATAATAGCATCAAATCATAGTTGTTTACTACTCCCCCGTCCCACAAAACTTGGCCAAAATTGACTTACACGTAGAATAATAAAGTAAAAAATTTGTGGTTGACATGTGTGTGGAGGAGAGAAAATAATCCAACTACATATTTATTACTTTAAATGGAAATGACATAGTTTTTGGGAGGCTAAATAAGGAAATTTGGCATTTTTTGGGGATGAGGGGAGTACTATTTTTTAATGCATCCCCGTTTCAGCTTGTGCTTTAGCTTCATAGATCTATAATAAGATTTAGGTTTCATCCTTAAAGATGGAGCCTAGAGCAATACAGTCTCTTTTATGTGTAATGACTTAACATGTCTCACGAGATGATGACTCGTTTGGCTTGATTAGATATATATTAAGATATATATTAAGATATGGGATTCCATCCTAGCCTTATATGTGAGCTTGTATCTTTATTATGTCTGATATGTGATGACTTGACTTGGCACACAAGATAGTGGCTTCATTCATATGCTCTTTATGTGTCCTAGTTGGATCAGTTACTCGTACGAGCCAAATTGGCTTTGATTCCACATTCAACTCGATAGAATGAATTCTCCAATGCTCTTATGAGTTTATATCTATAGTAATGTGTCAAATGGCTTAATTGTATAAACTATAAAAACTGATTTAGAGTTGAAGCGTGTCTTGATGGTAACTATTTGGAACAAATGAATCATTCATGTATATTTTTCAAACTAACTTTGCAGGAATTAAGGGTGTGGGTTGGTCATCTCTCGGCTCTAATGCCGTCACCATCATACATGCCACTAAGGTGGGAGAGCAGCGGGGACCAATGGTGGTTTGCCTCTCCCATTGATTGGGCAGCTGCCAATGGACATTATGATCTGGTGAGACAGCTTCTTCTCCTTGACACTAACCTTCTCTTCAAACTCACTTCTCTTCGGCGAATCCGCCGTCTAGAGACGGTTTGGGATGACGAGGAACAGTCTGATGATGTAGCAAAATGCCGCTGTCAAGTGGCCAGAAAGCTCCTCCTTGAATGTGAAACCAAGAATGGACACAATTCTCTCCTCAGAGCCGGCTATGGGGGCTGGCTTCTTTACACGGCTGCCTCATCTGGGGATGCAGAGTTTGTTAAAGAGTTGTTGGGGCGAGATCCGCTTTTGGTGTTCGGTGAAGGTGAGTATGGGGTCACTGATATACTCTATGCAGCAGCTCGGAGCAAGAGGTTTGAAGTTTTCAGGCTTCTGTTTGATTCTTCAACCACAGTGAAGCAAAAGAATGGAGAAGAAGGATGGGAAGAGGGTGATAGCCCTTTGGGTTGGAAGATGGATATGAGGAATAGGGCAGTTCATGCTGCTGCTAGAGGAGGAAGTGTGGAGATATTGAGGGAACTGCTCTTGAACTGCTCAGATGTTTTAGTGTATAGAGATGAGGCGGGATCTACTCTCTTGCATTCTGCCGCTGGAAGAGGTCAGGTTGAGGTAAGTTAGTCAATCGCGTCCAAAGAATTCCTTCTGGCTGTTAAGTGATATTGGCTTTAATTGACTCAGTAGTCTGAATTACCTTATACGTCGTCAGTTTTTATTATTATTTAATCGAGCAAGTTTCACAGGTTTTAAGAGTAAAATGGCATGGGTAGTGTTTTAATGTATGAACAAAGTATATTGTGAAAGTAATGTTAAATTTGTTGTGCTCTAGGTTTTCAAAATTAGAAATTTTATAATACATTCTTTATGTCGGTCTCTTCAACTAAATTTAGAAAGTATTTAATAAAGATTTTTTTTCATACATTGTTTACAATGCTGTCACTTTTTGGAGGAATCGTCTCCTTCCTGTCATTGTTTATTCACATTTTGTACAAAGAAAGAAACACTTCTTCCGTCCAAAAAGTACCATTTCAGATACTCTTTTCTTTCCAAAAAAGAATCCCATTTCAACAAAGATAACTAATTTAGTTCAATTCAGTGTTAATTAAGCAAAACCAATCTGTAAAAGTCAAGAATAGTAACTCTAGTTAATAAATGAAATTTATATAGAAGTAGGTTGATCATTTATACAAATTATATGTTACCAAAATCAAATATTTCTGTATGAATGGAGCATGACTCATTTTTTAGGGATAAAGTAGTATATTACTTGCAGCTCATGACTACTTTGAGACTTACATCTGATGACTTTTTAAACTCAATAAATGCTTAATACTCTAAGTATGCGGCCATCCAATTTAGTGAAAACCGTTTTGGTGATAAAGGTAGGATCTTTCTCATAATGGCAATCTATCCGATTTTTTGAAAACAGTTTGGTGATAAAGGCAGGATTTTTCTCAAAATGGCAATCTATGTGTCCCAATTAAATTGCACCACTTGATTCTAATAATTCTATACTCTATAGTTAAATTAGTAATTCTTGTAATTTCTTAATTATTGCTCAGGTGGTTAAGTATCTATTAGCATCGTATGACATTACTGATTCCAGAGATGATCAAGGCAACACTGCACTGCATCTGGCTGCATACAGAGGCTACTTACCCATTGTGAAAACTCTCATATCCGCATTGCCTTCGTTAGTCCCACTCACAAACAACCACGGAGACACATTCCTTCACATGGCTGTGGCGGGCTTCAGAACACCAACTTTCCATAGGTTGGACCCACAAATAGAGTTAATAAAGCAGTTGGTGTGCGGAAAATTTGTGAACATTGAAGAAATAATCAACTTAAGGAATAATGGCGGGAAAACAGCTCTTCATGTTGCTGTTAGTGAGAATGTTAGGACCGATCTAGTAGAACTTTTGATGACTGTATTTTCAATAGATTTAAACATCCGTGATGATGATGGTCACACACCATTGGATCTCATCAAGAGACGCCCTCGACCACATTCTTATGAGGGATTGATCAAGCGGTTCATCTCGGCCGGAGGAATATCCGATTGCCAAGACCGGGCGGCAAGAAGCATCTTAGCTTCACGTTTGAAAACACAGGTATTATTGTGAGTGGTCCTTCTCAACTAAAAGTTGAATTGAGCTAGTAGATTGCATGTTCAGTACTTGAGTGGTCCATTTAGTGTTAAGCTAGTAGACCGCGTTTTTTATGTTCACTAGATTCTAGACTTGTGGTTAATATATGACTATATGATGTAAAATTCATATTTTGATGATTCATTTAGGGTGACTTCGGTTTGATAAGACATGTTCATCCAGACTGAAGTTTATGGGTCCCTATTTTGGTCTGTTTGAGTCTGATTTGATAATATGTGTACTTTGTTATTATTATTCAATGCTGGTCTATTCTTGTCTCTAAGTCTGGACTGCCCTAATCTAATTTTGTGGTGTAAGGATTGAAATATGTGCAAGTGAACAGGTCGTTAATATAGTATGAGAGCTTGATCAGGTTGTGGTTTGTCTGTTTATTCAACGCTATATAATTTAGGGTATACAGGGTATTCTTGTTGAGATCGGTTTAAGCCTCGTTATACATCCTGAGGTTATCCAGCCCGTTTTAAACAAAGGGGCATGTTAAGTGTGTGTTTACCATATTTGTGGATTAGAGGACTTCATTTCCTGAGGATCAGTTAGGCCTAATCTAATTTTACTTGCAAACGTTTTTACTTAAAATTTGGGTGGCACCAAGGTTCCGACTTTTGTCACTTGAAGCTCATGTTAATAATTGCTCTCACATTAACTATTCACATCCTTATATCTCAATAACAGGGTACAACAGGTAGCCCAGGAACTTCTTTTAGGATCCGTGATGCTGAAATATTCTCATGTGCCAGCACTGAGAAAGGGTATGATGGTAATTGTGATATTTTAAGCTCGGGATATGCCTCTAGCTCGGGTGAAATAAGTTCACACTTTTCACATAAAAATAAGTTGAAGTTTCTTATGGAGTTGACAAATAATAAAGGGAGAGATGATTGCGTGCCTGCAGAATCTCAAGCAGAACAACATTCTTTGACATCGGGAGAGAAACCCGTACTCTCTCTACGACAAAGGTTTGCAAGAATGTCCTCCCTTCCGAACAACAAAAGAGTTCACTCGGTTTCTCAGGGCCATTCTAGTCCATTCACAAAAATGAAGTTTGCTGCAGGGGTAAGGCAAGGCGTTATTCAAGTAACGCCACGATGTCTTTTCTCTGGATCATTGCAGGTGCGAAGATTGTAACAATATTACTAATGCATAATTAATGACTCCGTACTATGTATAATAGTTATCAATGACGAGCTTTACCCTATCTATAGTATGGTAGAAGTTGTGGTCGATAATGGAATTTTTCTTATAATAATATATAACTCCGTACTAAAGTTGAACTCACATGCAAAGTATGAATATATGGTAACCTGAAAATATGTCACTGCAGTCTAAAATTGTATGATCATTGGGTATTAAAAAGTCACAAAATTTGTTGACTGCTTTGATTTTAATATTATATTTGTCATTTTTATAATGATAGGCATCTCAGAAGTCTGTCATTCAAGAAAAGAGAAGAAACCATACAGATGTTGTTAGCCCTGGTGGCTCCCGTGACTTCAATTGCTTGCCTAGTAGACAAAAGTCGAAAGCGGAAATGGGGCGCCAACGCAATTCCTTCAACATGAAGGTGATGAACCAGTTCTTCTGCTTCGGGGATGACGGCGTTTCTGTGAATAATCCAGGTAGATCGAAACCACAGGTTCAGTATTGCAAACAAGCAATTGCAGCATGAATGTAACATGATGTTTTCTATGTTTCATCTCTCCTTTAAAGTTGTAATGAAGCATGTAGTGGTGCTGGCAATTTGACTAATTTGAAATTTATTGTTAATTATTCTCTTTTAATTCCAACCAAGCATTCCCCCCAAGTGGGGGTGAGGTTACCGTGCCTAGTGAGAGGTCTTGAGTTCGAAACCCGCTAGGCACATAAGGGTTTGAAACTCAATGAAGTGAGTTTCAACCCTTATTACTCCAGGCCTCCCCAGCTTCCCTCCCCAGACGCCCCCTGGAGTAATATATATATTCTCTTTTAATTCCATACAAAAATTTGTTCAGTGTCCTGGTTTGTTTGCTTTTGGCTGCAAGCCTTGCAATACCTTAATAATTTGATAACTAGGGGTCAAGTTGTAATACTCTGTATTATACTCCCTCCATCCCATTGGACTTCAACGGTTTTCTTTTTTTGTTTGTCTAAAAAGCTTTGACATTTTCTCTTTAAATTAAATAATTTGTGACTCTGCTTATTTATCTCTCTACAAAATTCTAAATCACACGATTTTTATTTTTCTTATTTCACATCATGTAAATTTGGCAAAGTCCAATGAGACGGAGGGAATAATAAGTAAGATGTTGTCCAAAGGGTCACAGCCAATGCCAAATGGTCAAATTTCGTAGTACATGAACACCTATTTTGATATCGCATTTGGTGACATTTTTTGTATTTAACATGATTATTATAGATATGATTATTTTTTTAGTTCATTATAGACTTATAAGTTATACTCCAAATAATTTTTTTCAACTCAATGATGTTAAACTTTGACTCATTATATCTTTATACACGATAATATTTATAATATGAAATTTATATGGAAATGTTTTTTGTAAAAAATAATATAATAAAAGTATAAATTTCTTAAGTTTCATGTAAATATATTAGTTAAATTAAGGAAAATTGAAAATAATAATCCCAACTTATACCGATCTGTTAATAATAATCTCAACTATTGATTATTTTTGTATAATTCAAACTATATGGACCATCCGACAGTAGTGATCCATGATCGGCTACTACCTGCTATAACAGGACAATTTTAAAAGAAATTAAGTTTATTCTATAAATAATCTGAATTATTCTCGCTCTTCTTTTAATAATCTCAACTATCAACTCAATTTTTTTTACAAAAAGTAAAAATAATTATTTAAATTTCAGATTTTAAATTTTATAAATGAAATTTTAACTAAATATTAAAGAGTGTTGCATTTTTGAAATTAAAAATTTTACATCTCATTTTTTATTATTATTCTCAGTTTTTTTATAAATAGTCGTTTTTGAATTCTTTTACAATTCACGTTTTTTATTAATTTTTAACTACTTTAAAACGATTTAATATTTTAGGATGATTAGCTTTTAGTTTTTTTATATTTTGAGAAATAAGTATTAGTTTTTTTTATCTTTTTCACTTTCTTAATTTTGAAAATCAATTTTTTCATTTTTTTATTTGAATTTGTAATTAATTTGAATTTCATTTATCGTTTAAAGATTTTATATTGACCTTTTTACTATCCTTTAAAATATCTTAAATGTTATGTAATTTTAATTATGAAATTCATTCAAGTTTTTCCATATTCTATAATTATATATTTTATATTCCTTAGTTCTACAAGCTATCTAAAAAATTTAATTAAGTAAAATTAAATTGTTATAATCTATTTTACCCTTTCTATTTATTTACGGAAATTTTAATTTAATTTTTTTGGGTCCATAAGAAGTTGAAAGAAGATAGTCCGGGTTATTATAATCTGGTATTTTTTTTTAATTGGTTGAACAGGTAGCCGGTCACGTCGGACCATTATTGGCGGAAGGTCCCTAAAGTTGGAATTATTTTGAAATAATCGATAGTTGGGATTATTATGAGGGGACTGTCAATAGTTGGTATTATTACTATCAATTTTTCCTTAAATTAATGGATCAAAGTTTATCATCTCTAATTGAAAAAGTCAAAAATGGCTAAATAAAAAGGGACGAGGTAGTAGGAATTAATGAATTACTTTGTACGAGTATCACTTAGTTTATGAAATCATGAAATAAGAGGGAAAACAATTATGTCAAACAGACCTGAATTTAATACTTTGTATAAAATGACAGCTCCCGAATTTAAAATACATTGAATGATCGATGGAGAGTAAAATACATCCTTTATGTATCACAGCTCCTTCCAAAATACAAAAAAAAAAGGATGACATCTCATCCTTAAGGGCCCCCAAAATACAAGGATCTACCGTAGGTGGCTTTAAAAGATAATTGGGTCTTATTCGGACGTTGTATCTTAGTATGTGGTAGACTGGTAGCACGGGTAGAGACAGGGAGGGGCCGGGGCCTCTGCCCCTGCAAGAAAAAAATTCTTATGTAAATATTATGTATAAATACTTTTAATCTATAAAAAATATGTTGATACGTTAAAGGGAGATTTCCCAAAATAGGAGTAAATGAAATTTGGAATTCCAAAATAGGACTACTATGTTTTTATTCCCGAAATAGGACTAACATGTCAGTATTTATTGTCATCTTGTAGGCGTGACTGTCAAACAGTTGCATTACAATGCATTTTACATGACAATATTAATTATAATTAATGACAGTATTTTTTAATTATGACAGTATTTTTCATACATGGCAGTGACAACTCCTATTTCGGGAAGAAAAATATAGTAGTCCTATTTTGGAATTTCAAACCTTATTTACTCCTATTTTTGGTAATTTCCCTACGTTAAACTTTGGCCTTTGCAATGCAAATTTTTTAAGGACCGGTCCCTTTAACTATAGATTACTGGCTCCGCCACTGACTGGTAGATAAGTGTTTGCATAATTACATTTGCTTCTACTTAAAAAAAGATATTGCAAAAAGTGAAGAAAGTGATTGATAGTAAAAAATGTTGGTCTTTTTAGAATGAAAATGATTAAGGTGAAAAAGTTAAAGTTGTGCATTTTGAAATAAGAACAAAGTAAACAAAACATCATCTACATTTAAATCTAGGCATCGGAAAGCAGAGCTTTTCACCTCATTTTATTATCCAAATTAGATTTCGTACTTCGTTTTTAAAAACATTTGTATGTGCGCCACCAGCCCGTATGAAAAGACAAAAATACCACTCCATTAACAATTCTGTTGGCCTTCAACATATCCCTGATGGAGGGCATTTTTGTCTTTCAATATGAGGTTGGGATGTAAATACAAAGATTTTTAAAAATAGGATGTACAGTTCTATTTGGACAATAAAATGGCTTGCAAAGTGAGATTACTTCATACAAATATTATAGCAATGTGAGTACAATATCATTACAATAATGATCTCTAATGAAAGAGGCAACGGAGTCTGATAGTGGCACTTCTTTTTCACCAATGGAGCAAGATAGTACTCCTAATACTTAGAGGACGTTTGGTTGTTTGCACCTTGAAATATTATAGGGACGCAAAATGATTACATGTGAACTATAGGGACGCAAACATTCTAAATGTAAAATCTAAATACATTGTTTGATCATGTATTAAAACTTTACATTGTTGGTTTGAAAAATAGCCCTTTAGTAAAACAAGGAAAGTGGCGTGTACCCGCACGAGTAGCTCAGTTGGTCGAGCGGTGGGAAAAATTGAACGTAGATCAAGGTTCGAATCCCGCAGCGACCAAAAGGGAGTTTTCAGAACCTAAAATAAGACTGGCCCTCTTGTGCGCACGGGTAAAGACCTACTGCTGCTTTGGTGACTGAGTCACTGTGATTAATTTCTCCACCATCCCGTCGAGTCGGGGTGGGGGCATTGGGGTTGGGCATTCAACTTTTGGACGTGGGAAAGTGGCGTATAACTCATTCATTTAACTCAAGTAAACTTTCCGATATTTATCTTTTTCAATTATTTTCAGTGATCAAAATGATTAATGAATTAATCCGTGAGAAATAATAAGTCTAGATTGTTTGCCTTCTTCAAAACGCAAATGGCAGAAGTTGTCCGGAAATAAATTCATACCCAGAAATAATGTTTGGCTTCTTCAAAAGAAACTGCACACTTGGCAAGGGATCAGGCGCCCAACATATAACTACGAATAAACCGAAGTGTAGAAGTCGTAATTCAATGTTCAGTATTCTGCATCGTAATTCAATGCTCAGCATTCTGCATCGTATAAACGGATGTAAAGTATTTTACCACCCCTGAAACCTACCTGAAACCGAACCGACTTGAATGGGACCCGAAAGTTGGGGCCCGAATAAAAATCGGTTCAGAACCGGTTCTTTGAGAATGAAAATCGGTTCAAACCGAACCGATTTTTTATTTAATAATAGTTTTTAATTATTTTATTTAATTTGTATAACTATAAAGTATGTAATTGATTTGACATCCGTATGTAACAACTATTCGAAGTAGTTCAGCATCAACCGGTAAGGCGCCCCTTCTGCCCACCCAAGTTCGAATCCCCCCAAAGATGGATTTCGTTGAGCTTTTTCGCTTTTCTTCCGCCCCAAACTTTCCATTTAGTTTTTCTTCCGTATGTAATTCGTCTCACACCGGATGGAAGAGAGGAGTTACTCCTCATACGAGCCTATATAAACACCCCTTCGTAGCTGCTATGGAGCTAGTAAAGTCTTAGGACGAGTATTAGCTATTGTATATATAAATTTCGAATGTTGATTTGTTAGACCGAAAATTCGGTTTCCGAAAAAATGGGTCCAAACAAAGTTTGGTTCGGTTTCGGTTTATAAAATATAAGAAACTGAAAGATCATTTTGGTTCGGATATTTCCCATTTCGGTTCAGGAACCGAACCCAGCCCTACTTCTCACCGACAACAGTGTCAGGGGCGTAGGCAGCCTAGGCAGGAGCAAAGCTCGGGATGGATCTGTACACAGATTTTTTCCAAATAATTTTTACGCTAAAAATATACTCCCTCCGTCCCAAAATTATCTCCATTCTTTTCATTTCGGTTCCTCCCAAATTTATCTCTTCTTTCCCTTTTTGGTAATGATGGAGTATATGGACCAGGGACCCTCGACCCACAGACTCCTACTACTCTAACACAGGCCCAATAGGCCCAAGAAGCACAAGAGGCCCAAAGGACAGCCCACGATGCACATGCAGGT